CACACACACACACACACACACACACACACACACACACACACACATGCAAAAGCATGCACAGACAGGCAAAACCTTTACCGCCCTTTTGTCATCAGTGGCATGGGACAATTATTGTTCCGGTCAGTAATGTTTTTGACTGCCATTTTAATTTTAGTCTTAGCCTTTTTAACAAAAATACTTCTTGGTTTTAGTCAGTTTTAGTCATTTCTATATTTAATGGTTTCAGTCCAGTTTTAGTCAATGAAAGCTTAAAAAATGTTTAGTTTTAGTCTTAAAAAAAGACAACATATTAGTATTTATAAATTAATTTGAATGATTTGTGTTAACATTTGTGAATTTGTGTTACTCTAAAAATGCCCAAAACAAAAACATTCTCACTTTGTGGCTTTATTTCTCAGAATTCGCTAAAGTGCAATGAATATACACAATACACATGCCCAATATTATAAGCAATAAAGGGGAACACACATGTTCAACTCCAACTTGTCAGCCAGGATGATGAAGATGCATCTTATTTATAAAAACGGACATCATGCAGTCCTAAACTTAGTAGACTGTTAAGCTTGTGCAAACGAGTGTTTTCAAACTTTACATGCACCAGGCTTTTATTCAGAACAGAAGCCATCATGTGCGCAGTTGCTAACTCCCCTCGACAAAAAAATAAATAAATTAAAAATTAAAAAAAAGCAGAGAAGAGTTTTACTTTCGTCATGAACGTAAACAAGCAGCTTCTGAGCTCAGAATGCTTTTAACAGTTTTTAATGGTGGAGACGTTACTCCCTGTTTAAGCTACAGGTGACGGACAGATTTCTTTTTTTTTCTTTTTTTTTTTTGCGAAGCAGCGCAGGCTGTTTGTCTTCCTTCTTTACCGAATGAGAGGAGGAAATGTTCTGTGCTGCTGTGTGTGCGTGTGTAACAGCGCTGCTGTCCCTCCCTCCACTCTGCATTCTAAATGATTGACAGATCACCGACTAACATTTTCGTCCAGTCTCCTCTCGTCAACGAAAACTCACGTTTCGTCATGTCTTAGTCATCAAAGAGCTATGTTTATTTCATTACCATCTCGTTATCGTCATGAAAAAAGGGGGAGTCAACAAAAATATTTCGTCATCGTCATTGTTAACGAAAACAACACTGGTTCCGATTTCTTCAAGGTGTCTGAAAATACCAACAATAAAAGCTGTTCAGCAAGTAAATGTTTATACAGTAGCAGTATGTCAGACTCTTTGAAGGGGGGTTCTGTGGGAAGGTTATAAACAAATAAAATGTTACCTGTTGTTAACAACACTTTGAACAACTTCAGTCCGGAGAACTAGAGATTATTTCTGACCAGACTGATGTGCTGATGAGTAGTCTACTTCATGCTTTAGTTGCAGCCCCATTGTCTACCATTATAAAAGCAACATGTGGATACAAAGACACGGCCTTACTGCAATCCAGAAAAGCAGTATGATCATTTATGGTCGGAGAAAAGCCCCTGTGCAGGTGTCAAGGTTGTAGAGGCCTGCGACTAAAATGAGACAGGTTGAGATTTAACACGACAAAGAAACAAGAAACTGTTGCACAAGTTTTTCGACAATGTTCAAAAGCAAGCCTACTAGCCTTTGTGACTCAAACTGGAAACTAAGTATCCTGTGAATGTTGCAAGACATTCTGGAGACTCTCTTGGCAAAGCTGTTTGCCAGCTAATCGCCAGCAGTAGCACCCTAACGAGATACAATATGACCTTAATTTGTATGGTGTCTTGGATTTTTTTTAAATAATTCTTGGTGCTAATTTCCTCCAACACACAAACATTGTTCTCTATTCATGCTGTTGCAGGAGCAACCAAACAAGCCTAAAATCCCCAGACTCTGAGGATGTTAGGAACAAAAACTGTTTCATCTAACACTGATGTTTGGAAAAGATGAAAGCATGTCCCTGACATAAACTCTAAAATCAGGCTGCTCCAACTGGACTACAGCAACTGAATGAAGGAAGAGATGAGAAACAGGAAAAGAAAAGACAGAACAAGGAACCAGTGTGGGAAAAGTTAGACCAGTGGAGGGAGAACAGACAAGTTTAGAAGACAAGCTTGCGTTGGTGAAAGAGGACAGGTGCACTTGTATTGGGAGGAAAGAAAGAAAGGAAGGAGGTGGAGCATGGTGGGATGGCAGAGCCGCTCCTTCTGTTGCCGTGGCCTCCCTCTCCTCTCCTCACAGGTCCTCTGGAGGTTTTCCAGTGAGCCCTGCTGTACTTAATAAAGGCCAGTCGAGCACCAGGCACTCCTCCAAGACTTGCTCTTTTTCTGCACTTCCTTAAAGCTCTGGCTGGAGTTAAAAAAAAAAATAAAGAGCGGGTGTGGATAAAAGAGGCATGGATGCAGAATAAAAACAAGGGATTCAGTCTGCTTCACAGTCTACTGAGGTTTGTTGTATTTAGTCAAAATATGACTGAGATATGAAGGATTGAGTGGAGAACAGTATTCATCCAGGGCTTCATTTCTCATCATGTTCCAAAGTCGACATGATGAAGTGATCGTATATACTTTTGGCCTGGTAACTGTGAATTTTGATTTAAGTTTTTTTAAGAGGCCGTCTGCTGCAGAGTTTTCTGAGCTACTTTAGGAGGCTCTTTTAGTTACACTCAGTCAGACACAATGTTTGGACTTTGTGGAAGGAGTAATAGATGAAATGTTTACAGGGGAGGTGTCAGAACTTGTCAACTGAGCAAAGCACTACAGCGTGTGTGTGTGTGTGTGTGTGTGTGTGTGTGTGTGTGTGTGTGTG